GATCCGTCCTGGAAGCATGATCCATCATGCGCCATCAGGTCATTTGGGCACTCAGATATACATCCAGGTCGCCCTCGATTTAATTTTGTTAAAAAGACATAAATAAGGTTTTTCCTTCTCCAAAAACAGTAAACGCACTAAAATATGTTTGAAAAGTTAATAATGTATTTCCCGAGAAAATAAATGCCTTAAAATCCTTTCTGTTTTATCACTCTGTGCCCGATCTGCCCTGGAAATGGGATCCTACGCTATTTCCGGGAAATAGCTTTTTCGGCTCTGGATTTAACAACTAAAATGCAGATAAACATGGTTTAATCAGATTTAGTCGGACTGCTCTGAGCATGTCCAATGAGGACATCAGAGAAGCAGTTTCACACAAAAAAAAATGTAAAAAGCATCAAAATTGTCTCACAAGTCATAAAACATTTTTCAAAGATGTTTATTAGCATTATTTAGTGAGTCAAGGATAGAAATAAGTAATTTTAGAACCATAATTACATTATTTATGGACACCTGGATGTATATGTGGTAGTGAACGCAGCCCATGAATTAGAACACATCCCTTTTTTCTTCCAGGATGCTTCTGGATTAGGCTCCGCCCATCTCCCCTGTCCCACAGCATGAGCTGCCACCACCGGTTTGACAGGATTAAACTACATGCTGAACACTGGGCCTCATTTCCCAGGATTAAAATTGGAACATCATCTGCAGCCTGGTGGCTCTTTCTTTAATAGATGATTTTCTTTCTAATTGTTCAAATCACCTAAAAATAGAATATTGTCAAAGATGATGATGAGGCGTTAATAATAAACATTAATCACAGGATGATGTGGGACAGAAGGAGGCAGAACCATCAGCTGTGATGCATTCAGGGTCCCTACCTGCTCGCTGCTCCTCCATCTCGGACTTCATCCCATCGATCATCTTCTTCTGCAGCCGGTTCTCCTCCTCGCACTGGACCACCGTGTCTTCACAGGCCGACAAAACCTCGTCACCGGCCGCCGCCAGCCGCTGCCGGATGAAGGCCCTCCAGTCCCGGAACGAAGCCATGACAGCCGCCAGAAACTACGCAGCTAAGCTAAGCTAAGCTAACGATAGCTTCTCCTTCTGAAAGTTTAACAAGGCTCACCACCGCCACCAGCCGGTGAGGAGGGGAAACAACTGTATCTGTGTGAAAAATAAAAAATAAATCAAGTACTAACTTTATTCCTCATTAGAGGATTTATTAGACCAGCTGTCATTTAAAAAAATAACTAATGACAATAAAAGTTGCCTAAGTCTAAAGTAAAATACTAACTGATGTGTGGACAGCAGACTAAAAGATAAAATAATAACAAAAAGGTACAATATCTACAGAAGAGGATTAGGGCCACTGAAAGAATACAAAAAGTTAATTGATTTTTAAATTTTATTTCAGTTTAATATGGGGAAAAAAGTCAAAATTCTGACTTTAATCTTAGAATTGTGGATCTTAATGTAGATGGTCACCATGAAGGAAGAGATGTGGAGCACTCAGCTTCACTGACAAAGATGTGAGTTGTTTGGGAGGGCCAGTAACACATTGGTGGAAAATAAGGGAATTAGGCGACTTTTTAAGTGGCCAAGGCGTCCCTGGTGATGCTATTTCATTAACGGAAGAGCAGAAGGTGATTAAAACAACAGAGCTAGTTTCGTCTCTAAAACAGACATGGCTACAGCTTGATGCTAACATGTTTGTTAGCTGTCAGGGTTCAGTCAGAATTCTGAGGAAAAAGAATTTGAGATTAAAGTCAGAATTTTGACTTTTTTCCTATATTTAACTGAAATAATATTTAGAAAACATGTTCATTTTTTTTTTTTTTTTTTTTTTTTTTACTTTTACAGTGGCCGTAATCTTCTATCGTAAATATCAGGTGATTTTGGTCAAAATAAAAAAACAGGGACCAGGGAGCAGATGTAGGTTAAGGGTCTTAAGGGTCTTTGCTCAGGCACACTGCCCCACTAGTGTGAACAGTCTTGCTTAAGGATCCATACTGACAGCTCATTCCCCCCCACCTGGGATACCAACCCAGGTCTCCTGTTTGCAGGATGGGTGACTTACCACTTGAGCTAGCCGGCCCCTATTTATATTGTGGTTCTGAGGGCTGGGCTGGTAAGAACCGCACAAATATCTGGTTCTGACCCATCTAAGTCCGATCTTTAAAGGGGTCATAGAATGCAAAACCGAGTTTCCATTGTCATAGATAAATAACGATAGTTCAGTGGGTGAAATGGACGTACAGAGAAGCTCAAACCCCATCAACACCTCCTTTCTATGCAAATCTCACAATTCTAAACTTCCATTAAAAAACAGGCAAATCCAAATTAAGCACAGCGTTGGTGTAAACTCTGGAATGGTGCCTTGTTTGGTTCAGGCCAGCTGCACTTTATTTCACGAAAATCCGGACGATTTTAAGATTCCTCCCCTGGACATTTTTTTAGGTATGAAAAGAAGGATATGTCTGGAAAAAGAGGACATCTGGTCACCCTACCGTATCAACAATCTCGATGTTTCAGTGAGTGAGTGCTTGTTGCTATGATGCGTCTTTGCTCAGCAGCTTCGCTCGTTTTTAACCAACCAATCAGAGCACAGCTCATCTAAATATTCATGATCATACCATAAAAGGAAGAAAACCTGTTGTTTCATTCTAGGGCTTTTAACATTAGTGCTCATAGAACTGCAAATATGCCATTTTCTTTCCAACCAATGTTACACACCCTATTAGAGACCTTAAGGACCAGATACCCTATAGAATCATTCTATTTAAAACTAAATAAGTGTCAGTTTCACATCAGTGTGTTAAAGCAAAACAGAAAAGGCCTTATTTTTCTCCCATATATCCGAGTCCCCCCGGCGCCCCCACTTTAGAGCATAATGTGTTAGTGAAGTTATGGTGGGTGGACAGATCACAAATCTTTATTGATCTAAAAAACCTCAACATTTTCTAGATTTACCTTCTTGACACGGTTCCTGGGATTCAGCTCCTAAAACATCTTCCTGTTGCAAAGAGTTTGATTATTAAAGTAAAGGCAAAACCTCAGAACTGCTTTAAATTCAGTGAACATGTAATAAAATTAGACAACAAAAATATCTGCAACATTTTACTTTGTTCCAACACATTAAAACTCGGTGACAGTTTCAGGTCAAACTTTAAGTGACACAATGCACAAGAGAAATGGCACCAATGACGTACGAGTTTCGACTGGACACACTAAGCAAGAGAAAGAACCGTGAAAGTCTTCAGAGAGTCCAGAGAACCGTCAGCGGGTTTGTCCCTTCAAACGGCGAGTCCCAACCAGTTCTGGCTCAGAATCCAGATTTACATTTACAACCTTAGAAAAAAAACAAAAACCTAAAGCAACAGTTTCACAAGAAGTCCTCAGCAATGACGAGCAGTTCATCAGCAGTATGTACAGTACATCCGATACCTAACAGTGAAGTGGAACCAAACTAGATGGAGGCGACTGAACCCAAACACTGAAGCTCAGAGGAACGTCTCAAGATTCACATGCGGAACCACAAGGCCACAACACCGAGCTGTTTAACAAAAACTGGGCTTTTTGTTGCTCACATTCACTAAAAGCCGTGCAACAAAAACACACGGTGTCCTCAAAATACTCTGTTTGTTAAATACCCGCCAAAATAAAAGCTTTAGATGGTGCTCTGCAGAAAAAACTGATGCATAAACATCATAAAATCCAGTTAAAGTACTGATCTGGTACCTAAACAACTGACAGAACCTACATAGCAACAAGAAGCTGATAATACGGCATCACTACTTGGTTCATAATCAACAGGTAGACCTCAGATAAAAGGGTTAAATACTGAAATTAAAATGTAATACTTTAGTTTTTTTATTCATTAATAACTCTGGGATATTGTTCAACTTCTCTTTCCTTTATATCCAGATTTTTTAAACAAAACAAAAGTTGAAATGGTGCCAAATTTCCTAAGAAAGAAAATATAAAACTTAAACTAAAAAAAGCCCTGATGCTCCTAAATATGAACACTAGGAGAAGCTGAGCTTTTATTTTGATGACACCGTGTATTTCTGGAGTAAAACTTTGGGTTCAGCAGGTCGCAGCGCTTCAGAAAAACGTCATGGAGCGAAACTGCAGCTCCAACTGAGAAAAACAATCCAAACTCAGAGGAGCTGATATGAATGAAGCAGCAGACGCTTCACAGAATGGCCACCAGGGGGCCTCATTCATTTTAACCATCCTCTAAAAAGAAGTTCATTTTTATACCATGAATTTAAAAATATATATTTTTCTGATTTGTTTTGCAAATTTATAAGACAAACATTTCAGTGATGAATGCAGCCAAATTTAAATCCTTTACTGCCATCTAGATCTCAGGATGACAACAGCAGCTTGAGATTTTGGATTGAAGACGTCAATCCTACAAATGTTCATAAAGTTTTCCTCTAGACCACCTTAAATCAGGAATCTTAAGGTGGTAAAGAGCAAACAGGTTTTTAGGTCTAATTCCTAAAAAAAAAGGTTGAAGGAAGTGTGGTTAGCTAACAGCCGATCACTGAGTTGGACTTTTTTTTCAGGTTCAATGACTTTTGGAGATTTGAATCAGGTAAGTGGAACTAAAAGAGGGAACGGTTAATTGGTGCTGGGATTTAATTCATGTAACCAGGATGTGGAAAACCCGGCAGACGGTTCCTTTCAGGTAAATAAGGAGCAGCAGGATCCGGACTGAACCTTTAGTCTGTTAAACGACAGCAGCTCCTCATCAAACCTTCGTCCCTTTCAGCTTCTGCTTCTGCGCCACTTCCGATGAAATGGACTGATCTGTGGTTCTGGATGTTTGTTGTTTCAGCAGCTGATCTTCAGACGTTCCTCCTCCCTGATGTCCATCTGGTTCGGCGTCTCGCCGTCCGGCCCAGTGTCGGTCCTTCCCAACAGCCGCTCCGAGGCCTCAGGGCAAATTTAAACCACAGTGGTCCGTCTGAACCGTCTGAAACAAACCAGACTGGTACCTTCCAGTTCCCAGCAAACATCCAGACAGCTGATCCTTTGTTGGGGGTTCTGGCCCAGATCTCTGGGCTGGGCTTGATCTAATGAGTTCTCCTGCTGGTTGACTGCTTGGTTCGGGTCGGTTCTGTTGAGCCTGGCAGTCGGTTCTGGGATCAGTTCTAACGGCAGTGTACAATCAACACCTTCTATGTCCTATAAGCTGCTCTCTGCCAACAGTGAGTGAAGCAGAACCAAAATCGGACCAAAGCAAAGAGGTCAGTGTGCTCGCTGGTTTTCCAGCAAATCCTGAGAAAAAAAGAAAAAAGAAAAAAAAAACTAGATTTAATGGAAAAACTCGCCGGCCTGAAACCCACAGAGGAGTTTGGTGGTAGCTGCAGAACAGCCTGGATGGGTTTTCAGTCCAACATCGAAGGTCAGTCAGTGAAAGCTCCTTAAGGCAGAACTCCATCAACTCAAATGAAAAGTTTTCTCTGTCGTGTTGCTGATTCTGATGATGAAGCGGGTCGACTTCTACAGAGAATGGATGCCTGAAGCACAGCCGGTGCTGAAGAGTTCACAGCCTGCAAGACAACAAGCAGGGCAAAGCTTAAGTGTATACAGGCCGATTTATACTCAGAATCCAGGTCGTCTGCATGTGTGTCTCAGTGAACGTTAATATGCCCCGCCCCTTCTGCAGACACTGCTGCACCTCTCCGAAATTGTAGGTGACCACAGACAGGAGGACTCTGATTGGTCAAATCTACATCCGCTCTACACTATGAGTATTTCCTGTTTGGTACCTAACCGGCTTGTTTTGTTTTTATGACCGCCATTGAAGTTGGACCCGGCAGAAGAGCGAGGTGCGCAAGAACGCTGGCACTCTTTTTCCACCTGGATCCCCGCACTGTTTCACCTTCATGTCCCTGCGTTGTCGCATAAAAGTTGCTCCAACTTCCTCACCATCTCGGCCGTATCTAGACCTACAACTAGTTCGTGATTGTCCCTCTGGCGTTGTGGCGTGGAATAACAGCGCAGACCACGCTTCAATATTGGGCATAAATCTAAAATATCTGCGACACACTGCTGCAGAGGGTATATAACCAGCCCTTTAGCCAATTAGGACAGTCACGAACTAGCTAGGATTGTGGGTGTTCGTTTGTCGGTTTGACGAGCTTGTACGCCGTCTACAACCCCTCATCCAACGGCAGACGACACACAGTTCACCAGTGAGTGTTCCCAAAGACTGGCCGTAGCGCTGAGTGTTTTGGCTTCAGGTGCAAACCAACAGACTGTCACACAGAGCTACAAACTAGCGTCCTGAACGGTGTCTGGGATAGCGCCCGAGGCGTGCCAGGAGTTGAGGACGGCACTACGGCTAGAGTTTCTGCCATTAGGTACCAAACAGGAAATACGCATAGTGTAGAGCGGATGTAGAATTAACCAAACAGAGGCCTCCTGTCTGCGGTCAACTACAATTTTGGGGAGGTGTTGTAGAATGTCTGCGGAAGGCGGGAGGAATATCTGCGTTAACGCGACACACATGCAGACGACCTGGCTTCTGAGCATAAACCAGGCTTTAGGCTCAGGTCTGCTAACAGTAGCATGCTAACGGTCTGCTGGGAGGTTCTGGAGAAAAAGCTCAGCTGCAAAAACCAGTGTTGTATAAAGTACTGAAATCTCGGAGTCAAGTAAAAGTATAAGTACCTCTCCAAAATATGACTTTGGTAAAAGTCTAAGTCACTGACGGAAATGTTACTTGAGTAAAAGTCTTAAAGTATCTGAAATGGCTTGTACTTAAGTATCAGAATTACTGTAAAAATAGATGTACTCAAGTAATGTAGTGAAAAGTAAAAGTAAAAAGTAGTGCAGTTTGAATAACATTTTTTTTTACATTTTGGTAAACTTTGAAGGTTAAATTCACTTAAAATAATATAAACAACCAAGTGTTGCGAAACAGGTGTATCCTATTGGTGTTGATGAACAAGCCCAGGCAAGACCCGACTTTGTAGTCAGTAGGTGGGTTTTTTAATTGTATTTATTGATTTTTTTTATTTATTTTTTTTACTTAGTAACTAAACCAAACATTGAAAATGTATCGGAGTAAAAGTATGCAATTAAGTTCGTAAATGTATTGAAGTAAAAGTGAAAGTTCTCAAAAAAAATGTATACTCTTGGAAAGTATAAAGTACTCCAAAATATACATAAGTACAGTAGTGAAGTATTTTTACTTCGTTACAATACAACACTGGCAAAAACAGCAAGTTTTCTAAAAGCAGGAGGAAAAAAAGGAGACATTCCGTAACTGCAGATCATCTATCATTAAGGTTCTGAAGGGAAACCTTAGACTCACGTCTGGAGGCGTCTCATTATGTCTTGCTGGCATTTTCGTAGATGACATCAGAGGTGATGGACTGCTGTTTCTTCTTCTGCCACATCAGGAGGACGCACTGGTGGATGAAGACGTACTGCTCCTGGAGACAAACAGGGAAGGTCTCAGTAGACCTGCAGCCTCCTCCAGCAGCTTCTGCTTTTCATGTGTTTTTCTGGAGCTCAGGTTCCTCACCTCAGTCTGGACCATGGAGAGTCGATGGGATCTCATCTCTGACACCATGCCCAGGATGTCCACGAACTCGTGCTCTCGGATGTGCTGCATGAGGCGATCCATAGCGATGAAGGTCCCGGTTCTGCCGACGCCGGCGCTGAAACAGACACAGAAATCGGATCTTGGTTGTTTATCAGACGACTCGCTGCTCATTGACACAAATCTTCACAGTTTGGTTCTGGCTCCAGAACCTCCAGCTTTTCATCAGGTTTCCTTAATTATTCAGACAATCTAAATACTTTTCAGGCAGGTTCTGGAAAGTCCAACGATTAATGAACAAAGAAATGACCTCTCTGCTTCACCCAGACTCTGTTTAATCACAGCCAGGGAGGGATTTACCACTGGGCAATAAAAGGCAGTTACCTAGTGCAAATGAGTTCCTGGGGGGACCATAAAACTCTGCATAAATAATACAACTACTCCTCATTTGTGCAAATTAATTAGGTTTCGGATAAAAATCAGAACACTTATAATATTAAGTGTCTCAGCCCCCCCCCCTCAGTGTCCACCATATTGGATCAGTCCATTTGTTGCACATGTTCAGAAAGGTCCAAACAGACAGCAGCAAACCATTTGAAAACAAACGATGCAAAGAGCAGTGATGTCAAATTAGCGCTTTTGTCGCTACATTTAGCGCCTTTTCAAACCCCTCTAGGGCTTTTATTTCAAAAAAGCACCTAGCGCCAAATCTAGCGACTTCTTTCTGCTACTGGACACTTTGGCGACAACATCTAAAAGCAGCAACTCTGCTCTCCAGAGCGAGTAGATTGGTATCTTGTCTGCTTGTCCTTTCCCGCATCTCTCCCCCTCTCTTTCATACCCCGTTTCTTGTCCGCCTGCTGTAGAAAAAGCGAGCCACTAGTGCCATAAAAGCTAAAAAAAAATAAAATAAAAATCAGTGAGCTTAGTGATTGGAAAAAATCACTTTCACTCATTTTGAGACAGCATGAAAAGTCAGCTGAGTACAAAACATAGAGAGGAAAACAACAAGAAAAGGGACAAACCTAGAACAAATAATGGATGTCTATGCTATTAAAATTTCTGTATCTGTATAATGGGTCTGTTTTATGTGTTGTCTTTTCAATTCAGAGGTCCCAAATACCTGTCTTTGCCTAGGGCCCCAAATTTCCTAAATACGCCCCTGAACAAAGCTCCCTGCTGCTCTCCAGAACTGGACCTTTCAGAACCAGCCGCTGACTGACCTGCAATGGACGACTATTGGATCTTTGGTCCTGTTAGCCTGCTGCCGTACGATGTGCACAAACTGCAGGATGCTCTCGATGGCGTTGACGGTGGGAACGCCGTGATCCGGCCACGAGGTGTAGTTCAGATGGAGGACGTCCAGAGTCTCGTCCGCCTGACGGAGGCACAAATATCTATGGGTGACTCGATCTAAAGTTTTCCAAAAAAACGTCCCTTCAGAGGAGAAAACTCACGTATCCGAGTCGAAACTTCCGGATGATCCACTCCGGAGAGCCTTCCTCAGAAAGCATCTCCACGCTGATGTCACCGTACATCACCGGCTCGTCTGTGAACGGCCAGTAATGATCGCATTTCACCTGGAAACACGACAGAAAAAAGATCAATCTGCTATTAATGACCTTTCCATATATTGATTCATGAGTGCGTTTCATTCATCCAGGCCTCAGAGCTGCAAGACCACATGGAGTCTAAGACAGAGGAGCTGTTTATCCTATTACAGTCGGCAACCCAAAATGCTCAAAGAGCCACATTGGACTAAAAAAAAAACAAACAAAAAAACCAAATCTATTCGGAGCCGCAAAAATGTTAAAGTCTTACATAAGGCTTGTATGGCAACACAGACTCTAAGTGTATTATCCCACTACTAAAAAGGACTACCTAGGCTTAGAAAAATCAAATGAACATTTTGTCCAATAAAACAAAAACTTATCCATGATAGCCAGCGGTCCTTCACACACGGCTATGCAGAGAGTGTGCTGCTGCAGACGGGCTAACGTTAGCCCTGGCTGCCGTTAGCCTTAGACTGGAGGTTGCTTCCTGTTAAAAAGGAGTTTTTCCTCTCCACTGTCTCTACAAGCATGCTTAGTGTGAGGGTCAATGAGTCAACTGGTTTTCAGTAGATAGAAAACTTTGAATCAATGTGACTGGATGATCTGGTTGAACTGTAAAGTGCCTTGAGATGACATGTGTTGTGAATTGGCGCTATAGAAATAAATTGAATAGAATTGAATTAAAAGTTTAATGTTCTCACCTCATATGATCTTAAAAACTTACATTTACTGAAGAATGGCAACAGAAAAGAGAACTTTTAACTTGATACTCTGAGCTCAGTAAGCGCTCCATTGAAAGCTGCTGCTGCTGCAGTGCATTCTGGGACAGCTGTCAATCTCAAGAATGGACAAGTCTGCTCTGATGCATGCTGGGTAAATAGGGAGGGGAGAGAACAACATCTGGGGACTTTCTCCGTTCTCTGTCTGCTGTTCTTGTGAATTGGACCAGTACTAGGGCTGAGGGTGAATACGTGTCACTACTACACGAGAACACACAAGTACACATATTGAGAAACGGCATTAGAAAGTGTTTGGGATAAAAACAATGGTTCTCATAACAAGCCAGACTGTTTCTCAGAGATTATTTCATAACGCCTCCTTTTTGTCGTGAATTATCTCAGTTTGTTCATAAAGCAGAAGCATTTAAAGAACCATGGATGAAAATCATTTCAGAGAAAAGTGAGGATGTTAAGGTCGTTAGATCAGTGACAGCTGATCTAACGACCTTTAATCGCTGTGTTTAATAGTAAACATTTCCTTTAACGTTTTGCTTTGCGGCGTTCGGATTGCCACCAGACCGGCTCCTCACCCTTCGGCGCTCGTTGCATTGTGTCAGCATGACGATGATCGGGCATTTCTGCTGCAGAACCATCTTCCAGAAGTCGTTGCGGGTCTCGGGCAGCGGGCCCTGGGTGGCGATGTACTCCTTGGAATGTCGGTATCCCTGCAACAGCAGAAATGGCTTCAGAGGAGTGATGCGACACAGACCTTCATTAGGAGAAAATACATTGAGCATCAGGAGACCCAGAGGGATGATTTCAGAACCGTAGGAATCTGGACGACTGAATCAGCCCAAACGTAACGGGTCAAATAGCCTCCCTCAGAGGCGTCATTTGGCTTTGGTTGATGTGAGGCAGAGACACGCCTAATATATAAGTGTACTGATGGCATTTTAGCAAAATTATTTTTATTAAAAACATAATTAATGTGCACAATTAATATTTGTTGGCCCCCAGGAACTTGGGGCCCTTGGCAACCGCCTAGTATTGCCTAATGGTGAATCCGGCCCTGCCTTTGTTTCACGTACAGCTGGGCGGATTATTGAAACCTAAAAATATTTCTACTTCCTGTTTCTGTTGCTATCTGATGCTTTTCTTTCATGATGACTTATGTTTTTTACGCCATCTCCTAAATTAAAAGTGTAATAAATCAGCAGAATGAGGACTTCCTGTCTAAACAGGAAACACTGCTTCCTGCCTTCACTCCCAGTAGATTGGGATCACAGGACCAGTGTCTTTACTGGTCTCTATAGAACGGATCATCCAGAACTCTGCTGTCAGAGTCTGGACCGGCACCATGAACATGGGTCCCAGCAGAACCAGGACTAAAATCCTGAACATGAAAGGATTGACTTTAGACAGGAAGTTATTGGGCTTTTTGAGGCGATGGTTGGGTCGGAACCAGAACCCTCTGGTCTTTACAGAACCGTCTCCTCTGTGCTTTCAGAACCAGAAGCACAGAAATGGAGGCAGTGTTGAGTTTCTCTGCCTGAGAACCTGAGATGTTCAGAAACTGCTGGTTCCTTTAATCAGAAATAATTTAAGTTTCATTTCCTTTATATTTGAAAATTTTTTGGTTGAAGTTTGATTGTTTTGATGGGAAACTTTCAAGGTTTTATTTTCATTTTCTTTTTCATCTATATAAGCTTTAGGCTCAGCAGACTCTTCATGTTCAGCTCATTTATCATCACAGCAGAGCTGCTTATTTTAGTCTGTCGCTAAGGGACGGATTTATCATTAGGCAAAACTAGGCAGTTGCCTAGGGCCTCAAGTTCCTGGGGGCCCCATAAAAATCCTTTTACATTTATGGTTAATACAACTATACCTTATTTGTGCACAATAACTATGTTTTTTGATAAAAATCCTTGCCATCAGAACGCTTATAATATCAAGTGTGTTTCAGCATTTACTTTAGCCGTCGCCTTTTTGGAAACACAGGAAGGAGCAATCAGCTAAGTGAGCTTAGTGCTTGAAAAAACCTTTCATTCATTTAGAGACAGAATAAAAAGTCAGCTGAGTACAAAAAATAGAAAGGAAAACAAGAAGAAAAGGGACAAGAAGAGAGGGACAAAACCTAGAACTAATAATGGATGTCTATTCTATTAACATTTCTCTATCTGTATAAATGGTCTGTTTGATGTGTTGTCTTCTCAGTTCAGAGGGCCCCCTGCCTGTCTCTGCCTAGGGCCACAATTTTCCTAAATCTGTCCCTGCTATCGCTCGTCATCTTAAATGTGAATTTTTCCCTTTATTTTCATTTTATTTCTTTGATCTTTTATTTTTTTTAAAGGAAAAGTCCGGTCATATTCAGAATTCAAACATCTGCAAGAACATGTAATTGATCAGTGTTTTTAATTCAGAGTAATTTTCATCTGAATGTGCTTTACTGGAGGCATCCATGTTTGCCAAAGAACACTACTGCCACCTACTGGATTGTGACGTCACGGTGCGGTATCAGCTGTTGATCAAGTCCCAGTGCTGTATCTGGTGTTTGTCACAACGCGCTATTATCCAAGTCATCTTGAAAACATTCTTCTTCCAAATGTTGGCTACATATTACGTGTTTTTTCTCTGGCCAGAAGTTCGATGGCAAATCCTCCCTCTTGAGTTGGCAATCCAACGACCAACCCGTCCGTGGAGGATCAGGAATCAGAAAGGTGGAATAACAAATCTTTTACACTTTTAACGGATGTATTCCAGCATCCAGCTGCCATGCACGTGGGCATTGTCAGTTTCACTATAGCTCTGGTGAATTTCAATGGTGAAGTCCTCTGGAAATCTTCAATAATTGTTGCTGATTGCAGATGTGTCTAGTAGTTCCCATTGATTTTGCTTGTAAAGCGGGGAGAATGGCGCTAGGCTTACCGCACCGTGACGTCACTGCTGGAAGATGGCAGGAGGGAGGGGTTACTATATTTGGGCAAAAATGGCCGCTCCCAGACTCATTGATCGCGACAAAAAATATTATTTATTATCTTTAAATCACCACAAATGTACAGTGTAATGTGTAGTTTTAGGTATAAATAATGATCCATTGATTATTCCTTGCTGACCGGACTTTTCCTTTTTTGAACATTGTTTAAAACTTTGATCTGGATCAGTCCTTATCAACCAATAGCACCATGGGTCTGTATCTGGACCGAGGCTGTGGGGTTTCTGGTTCTGAACGGATACTCACTGGGATGTAGTTGGCGTTGATGTAGTCAGCCCCTTCGTCGTTGTGCATGGAGATCAGCTTCACTCGGCTGAAGTCATCTGAGATCAGAGGTTAGGTCAGTTAAGGAGCAACATACGGTGTCAGAATTGAGCGGGAACCGCTTCTGGACTCACAGGGCAGGATGTTTGTGTACCGGTTCTTGGGCCGGTTGATGGGCAGGTCTGCAGCGTCATGGGACACGTCCAGGCCGACGCTCTTCAGCTCCTGGAAAACATCCAACAGACTGAGAGCTGCTTCTGGTCCGAACGGAACCGCCCTGTTTCTAAGCTCCTCCTGACGTACCTCAAACTGCAGAGAGAACTTGTAGGCCGAGTCCTTGCTCATGTCCTTGTAGAAGGCCTCAAAGTCGTCCAGCTGCACAGGGCTGAAACACAAACCTTCATCATCATCATCATCATCCAGCTGCAGGGAGGGGAGACGACAACAAACATCTGGGAGGGATGTGGATCAAGGAGCAGCAGCAGAACCTAAAGGTGATGCAGGGATCTACTGATGTTCATGGAGACGCACTGAGCCAGCAGGAAAGTTCTGGACTCCTATCTGCCGAGTCAGAACCGGCTCTGGGTTCTCTTTACTGGGAACCAGAGGTTCAGCCAAACCGACAGTTTGACATCCTAAAAACTAAACGGATCCTAACATGACAGGTCAGCAGAACCACAGGCTGATCAGCACCAGTGGTTCTAGAAGAAGGACGGTTCTGCTCACGTCTGAGACGATTAGAACCGGGTTTGGGCCTGAAAAAAGCTTGCTGCCGGGCAGACAACCATCAACTGAAGGTTCTGGTTCCGGATCTCCAGCTTCAGGAAGTGGACTTTCCGGACATTGGTACTGACCAATCAGCAGAGCAGAACCTGAGCTTTGTCCGGTTCAGGACATCGAAGTAGAAACAAGTTCTACCATCAGAACCATTCCTGCTCCGCGGCTCCAACAGAACCAGTTGTGCCGTCTCGTTCTTCTAACACCTAAAGCTGATCTAGACCTCATCCGGTCCTGTTCTAAAAGCAAAGCAGAACCACTAACTGTTCCCCAGAACCCTGGTCCGAAGGTTTAAACCATCAGCTGATGGTTCTGAAGGATCAGACATTCCAGATTCTCTGAACCTCATTCAACCTTCCAGGGATTCCGGTTCTGGACCTGTCAGATGAATGGATCAGTAAGAAATGAAGTCAGGAACTCCGACTGGAGCCTCTGATGGGAGGAGCTGTGTGGGTGTGATGGTGAAGCAGTTGGTTGAAGGTTCTGGTTCGGTTCTGGTTCGGTTCTGCGGCCGACGAGCAACGAACACAAACGGACCAGAAGCCGCTTGGATCTGTTACCTTGTTAGCTTCCGTTTCTTTAAAGCCGTCTTGCTCCTATAAAATACAAACAGCGTGATCTTCACCTTCATCATCCTCGGCTTCAGCCCAGGACCGTCTGTGCAGCAGCACTGCCCCCTGCTGGTCGCTCGCAGTCACATCAACTTTTGTAAAGAATCATTCATCAGATTTTTTTTTTTTTTTTACAGAACAAATGATGATTTAATGAGCAGTGAGATGGTTCTGGTCCAATCAGGAGGCGGAGCTGCGCAGACGAACCTATTGGGTCACAGCATCTGAAGAAACGCCTTAAATACCGTATTTCCTCAAAGTTAAATAATATTTTACAAAATCAACACTTTCAAAATTTCATAATTTTATGTGAAATAGAAATAATGAACCGAAGAAAGCGTAGAATAAATAAATATAAATCTATACAAATAAAATATTGAATCAAATGAATGAACAGGGCTCATCATTTTATGTTCTTTTCTGATTCTTCCAGCATCTCTTTGGGTCGGCAGCAAACTAGAGAGTGGTACCAGAAGGTTCTGCTACCATCAGGCTTTGGCTGAGGAAATACGGTATTCAGATGGAAGAATAATAAAAACTCACAGTGCTGCAGCACATTTCTCAGACTCAGAGGGAAACAGAAGCTCCTAAACCCAAATAACCAGCCTGGACGTCTGTGGCTGAAAGTTTCCATCCGTTTGCTTTTTTATGCAACAAAAACAAAAAAAAATCTTCCAGAAAAGCTGGATTTGGTTGGTTTTAACTATTTACAGAAAGAAAATCATTGGAGTTTTTTTGTTTTCAATTATTTCAAGTCTGCAGAAAATAAAATAGTCCTTTCACTTCTTCTTCGGTCTCATGTTACAGGAAAAAATACGGTTTCTTCAGCCACAGCCTCCAGAGAGGAACCCAAACATCAGACCAACTTCATGCAGACAGCTGAGCTCCACCAGTTTCCTCACTCTGGATTTTACTCTAAACTCTTCAAGCTTTTTTTGCTTTGAAGGGACTCAGATTTTTCCCACAATCTGTTCTGATCGTTGGGAGGAAATGTGAAGCAGCTAACCAGGAACATGCAGATCTACAGAACCGGAGACTACAGTGCTACAGAGTGACTGACGGCATGCAGCAAAGCACAGTTAGCATCATCACTGGAAAAAATCAACATCTAGATAAGTCATTTTTTTCTTAAAATAAGTGCATTTGTTCTTGGATTGAGGAGGTAAAAGAGACATTTTTCCAATGGAGCAAGACAATTTACACCTAAAATAAGAAAACACAACTACATTGTCTTATTTCAAGTGCATTTTATCTAATTATCTTAATTTTGGAGTAAAAATACTCATCCCATTCTCATTTACCTACTCAAATTAAGGTTAAATACTCTTAATTTAGGAACTTTTCTAATTTCTAGATTGTTTTTCCAGTGCAGGCTGTCGTACATCCGCCATGTTAGTGAGATCCGCCACAGTTCAACCAGAAATCTGGAGTCTTTCTGTCGATCCAGGACTTCCAGAAAGAGGGATACAATATAAACTAAAATAAAGATTCTGGTGTCGTCTGTTTATCCACAAACAATCAGAAACGCATTCGCTTTGTCGACAGGAACACATCCCTGCAGGAATTTTTATCTGATAAAATTTAAATCTAGTTTCTGATGTTCCTCTTCTTTGCTTATTTCATTTAGGCTTAATAAATCACTGCAGACATCTGCTAAAGAAAAAAAAAAGGATCCCATGTATGATTTCTGCCAAATATAATATGTTTTTTTTGCGTCATTTTTTTTATTTTCCATTCCAGTTTTTAATGTTTTTGCCTTTGGTTGGATTCACATTTTAGATATTAAAATTATAATGCTGTTTTAGAAGCTTCTAATGTGCAAAATTAAGCCACGGTTTAAACTAGTTGCTTTGAAAATGTGTTGTAAATGGTCAAAAGCTGTAGTATCACATTTATATAAAACAATGGATTTCTTTCTATTTCTTAAACATAAAACACTAAATTTCCCCCCAGCTGGGTGATCTGCATAAAAGCCACAGTTTGTGGCCAAAGTGTCAAGATATTAATGTGACGAAACCAGCGGGTTGAGGGAAACCACCATGGTGATTTTTACTTTTTTCTGTGTTTTTTTATAGAAACAAAGAGGCGGAGTCTTGAAGGAAAATGCGTTTTTAAAGATGTTTGTGGAAAAATGCAGAGAACAACCAGATGAATCTGTCAGCTCTGGATCTACTTGAACTAGAAGTGTTTCTGCTGAGCGGTGCGGACTGTGGCGGCTACGTAAACATGCCCCTAAAGTGCAGCAGGCGCTTACTTACCACGGATTAATATAAAAAGCCAAAAGATAGTCAGTCCAAAGGCAGGATGGCAGGAGGGTAAGGAAGGCAAAGAGGCTTCTTCGCCTGAAGGGGTTCAAATAAACACAAAAAAAGAGAAAATAAAGAGAACAGACACCATGGGGGGGGCAACAGGGTGGGGGACAAAACATGGAGCTCCGTTAGTAAAGAGGGACAGAGCTTCACATTAGTGCAGAACACAGAGTTAATGCATCACGCAGCCGCCGCTCAGAGACGCCCGTTGTCTCTGCAGGACAACAGGAGTCTGTCTGCAGCCCGTCTCACTGAACAACCTGCAGCCTCAACCTGTGACATCATTGCATCGCCCTGGCTCCGCCCACAGCCGGGACTCCAACTGCTTTCTGTTTCCTGACACGTCCCTGATTACCTCATGGACACCATCAGTGATGATGCATTGATTTTTCCTTCAGAATCAGCCTGAAGCTTCGTTAGATTAAACAATTAAAGATGTTAAATATTTGTTAAAACCAGGAGCGGATTTACGATTAGGTAAAACTAGGCGGTGCCTACGGCCTCAACTTCCTGGGGGCCCCATAAAACTCAGTTTGCATCTATGGTTAATACAACTATTACTTAGTTTTGCACATTAATTATGTTTTTGATAAAAATCCTTTCGCTAAAATGCCATCAGAACACTTAATATTAATATAGTGGGCTGAGACACACAATATTAAATGTGTCTCAGCCCACCCCACCCCCAATGTCCACCATATTGGATCAGTCCATTTGCTGCACATGATCAGAAAGGTCCAAACAGACAGCAGCAAACCATTTGAAAACAAACGATGCAAAGAGCAGTGTTGCCAACTTAGCGCATTTGTTGCTATATTTAGCGACTTTTCAGACCCCTCTAGCACTTTGATTTCTAAAAAGCACCTAGCGCCAAATCTAGAGACTTCTTTCTGCTACTGGAGACTTTGGCGACAACATCTAAAAGCAGCGAACTCTGCTCTCCAGAGCGAGTAGATTGGTAACCCCGCCTCCTGCTCTCCTCTATCTTGTCTGCTGTCATGATTCATGCAGCTATTATTTCATCCAAATGAAAAATGGAGAACAGAGAAGCAGATCATGGCTTGTCTACAGTGAAAAGAAGGACTGGGTTATTTACTTTTTGGAAACACAGGAAGGAGCAATCAGCTAAGTGAGCTTAGTGCTTGGAAAAAATCTTTCATTCCTTTAGAGACAGCATGAAAAGTCAGCTGAGCACATTGCAAATATGAAAATAATAAAAGGGACAAAAGGAAAACAGCAAGAAGGACAAGATAGAACAAATACTGTATACCTATTTTAATAAAATATCTCTATCGGTATAATGGGTCTGTTTTATTTGTTGTATTCTCAATTCAGAGGGCCCCAAATTTCCTAAATCCACCCCTGGTTAAAACGCATAATTTTTTGGATGTTAGTGGGACTAAGTCTTCTTTACCAGGTCGTCCAATAAACATCAGTTTGACCCTAAACTGCACAGTAATGCTCTTCAGTTTCTCAAACACCCCCAGTCTTTGTTCACTGGGTCGATCAGAACAGTTTTGTCCCAATTCAGGACGTTAAGTTTGTTCAAACTGGATCCAGCGAAGGTTTGACATGTCTGAACCTGACAGAACCTATCCGATCCTCCGGCAGTTCTGAAAGGACCAGGATTCAACAGGAACTAAACCCTAACATCTTCATCCTGCCTCAGAGCGGTCAGCAGGTCTCCTCATCACACCCACAGGGCGAGCCGGGCCAGAAGCACGAGAAAGCAGAACCACGGCTGCGCTGCAACAATAAGGCGATGAAATGTGCGTTTAGTGATGGGGGGTCTGCACATGGAGGATTCTGCCTTCACTGACCGTCTTTCAGCTCTTATATTAACCACAAGAACCAGAACCTTCATCCGCGGCGCCGTCTTAGAGACCTGCAGCAGCCGCTGCTCTTTTACTTTGAAAGGACAGCTCTCAATTCTGCTTTCAGAGATTTTTAAAAGCCAGCTGGTTCTCAAAGCAGCAGATTAAATCTGAGCGTTCATATTCAACAAACAGCTTCTGATATCATCATCATACTCTTAAAGGGCCAGAGAGTTTAAACCAGAGCTGCCTGTTCAGACCCTGATCTGCCTCATCAATCTCTCCAAGCACTAATCTGCTTCCTGTTGGGTGTGTGCAGCTGTGAAATAAGGAAGTGATGCTAAACCAACGGTGAAAACAGACCAAACCGCCTGCTGCTGCAGCGCCCATGAGCAGAAGAAGAGGAGCAGCGTACCAGTTGTAGGGAAGCTTCCCATCTCGCTCAAACGACGCGAAGTTAACAAAGGTCTCAGCGCCGCAGTCTCTGCAACACAGAGCAAACAGTTCAGGGTGTGAGGATTGGGGAAGTCACTGATATTTGATGAGTTTACAGGAAAAACAGGAAGTGATGTGGGCAAAAAATAACAGAAAATCAGCCTAATTATCTGAGCTGGATATAAATTACTCAGGTTACGCAACTCGTTTAAAGCCATAACATGAAGTGAGAAAATTTGAATAAGGGAAGTAAAACACGACAAGATAAAAAAAAAGACGGTTGAAAAACTCAAATAAAATTATAGTGTAATCAAAGCTAAATCCTAGCAATAGAGAAGTGGCTAAGCCTTTAAAAACGGTCCAACAATCGGGTCAGCTGAAGACCCCATTAGAACCACCTCCTGGCCCTGAAACGTCTCCTCCATTCAGTTCAGAAAGAAATCCTAGGAAATCGTTAGGAGTTTGTAAAACTTAGTAAAAAACTAAAACAAACAAAAAAAAAAAACTGGTGCAAACTAAGAAGCTCAGATCACCTCAGAATCAGATGGTAATGTCAGATATAATGATCAGGCTTCTCTCCTGTGGTAAAAACTACCAGTTTTAGTCTGTGAGGCAGACACCCTGTCTGCTTTTAAGGCTAGGCTTAAAACTTTCCTTTTTGATAAAGCTTATAGTTAGAGTGGCTCAGGTTATCCTGAGCTATCTCTATAGTTATGCTGCTATAGGCTTAGACTGCTGGAGGACATAGGGACCCCATTTGATCATTCTTTTTCTATGAGCCTGGTTCTGCTGGAGGTTTCTTCCTGTTAAAAGGGAGGTTTTTCTCTCCACTGTCGCTACCAGCATGCTTGGTGTGAGGGATTGCCTTCGAGTCAATGAGTCAACACAATCAACTGGTTTTCCTTAAATAGCAAACTTTGAATCAGTTTGATCTGGTAAACTGTAAAGTGCCTTGAAAGGACGAGTTGTGAATTGGCGCTACAGAAATAAACTGAATAGAATTGAGGAACTTCCTGCTGCTGCAAGCAGGAAGTTCTTAAGATGTTCTCAGAATAAACTTTGAGGAACAATCTCCAGCTGCACATCTCGGCTCACTTAGACCTTGTAGCTTCCTGGGCATCAGTTACCATGGCTACAGGCCAGCAGTACGGCGGCGGTGCTCAGGTGTTACCTGGTCATCTGCAGGTGCTTCTTGCGGAGGACCAAAAGGAAGAGAACCAGCAGGCTGATGAGGAGGATACTGAGGATGGCCAGAGCCGAAATGGCCGCCATGCTCGGATTCATCTCTTTGGCTGCGGACGCACAAACAGACAATGTTACATCACCTGGGGGCGGAGCCTGCCCTGCTTTTACCCCCAAACCATCGTCTCTGTTCACCTTTGGTTTTATATCAGACATCCCAACCTACTCAACATTTCACAATAAAAGCATCACGATGGCTTTGAAGTCAACAGATTAAAACTAATGATGTTATCATCTGAAAAATGTACAGGAGGCCCCGCCCTTATAAATATAAAGTTTAGACAGAAGGTGATCTGATTGGATCAGTTACTAAGATTTGACAGGAAGTAGTCATTTAGTCCAGTTCAGGCAGCTGGAGTCGTTTTAAGAACCAGTTGACCTCTGGATGCAGATTCTTGTAGATTTAGGGCCACCAGGGAAAGGAAGCAGAATTCAAAAGCTTGCCGCACTTTTCAGAGGTTTTTTTTCAGCTCTGGAGAAAAGGTTTAAGGAGTGAGATATTTAAACCGGTCAGACTGGGGGATGACGATCTCCCAGTCTGACAGGAACCCGCAGACCTTGGGTGGACTTCCTGCCTCTCTGTCTCCACCTACCCGCAGTGCTGACGGTGATCCGAGCCGGGCGACTCGGCGTGCTGTAGCTGAAGCTGGTCACGGTGCAGTTGTAGCTGGACGACGGAACCAGACCAGAGACCGTCAGGACGTGAGAGGTGGACGTGATCGGCTCGGTGGCCTGGAGAACAAACCAGAGAAGCCATCAGAGAGGAACGGACCGTCTGGTCCACTGCTTTAGGATTTCTACTTTGGAACAGACCCACTATGAACCAGAACCTCTGCAACCTCTCTGAAGACCTGCAGGTTGTATTGCAGCAACCCTCTGGGTGGGAATCAATACCGCCGAATTCTGATTGATATTCTGGCCCGTCATTAATATAGTCCTCTACCTGGGCTGTCTGACTGAGAAGGACAGTTCCCTTCCCGGCTTCTCAGAAATCGTCCCCCCTGGATCCAGGTTCCAGGTTCTCCTTAAATAAGTTGGAGCCAACAATCCTCCTACAACATGTCTGCTCAGATCGTAGAAGCAGGAGCAGCGTTCATCAGACCAAATTCCAATCCCCCTTTCTTAAAAGGAAAACCTTCTGTTTTGGACCAGGACTGGATCAGACATAAGGCTGCAATGCCATTGGGTTTTTGTAACTCCATCATCTTAATGTTTCTCCCAGAAAATATTTCTCACAGAACAAAAGAAATTTTAAATAGTTGCCATCCAGTGGAAACTAGAACCAGAATATTAACCCGAATCCCAGCGTACCCGACCAACTGGGTGAGGATCAAATTAATCTGCATCAGATGGTTTAAAGCTCAGTGGAGAGAACCCATCTATCCTCTTCTGCTTATCTTGGGTAGCAGCTTCAGTATGGAGGCCCTCTCTTAAAAATATTAACCGTAAGAAACTAGATAAAAAAAAATAAACGTTATAAAAAGTTCATAACTATAAGAAGGGTAAAAAAATCCAGTCAAAAACGTAAATAAAAAAAATTCTTAATAAAAACTGTCAGATAAAAATATTTTCATCTATAAATGAAACCAGACTGAATTTCTGTAAAGAAGGTCCGATCAGCAGTCCAGTCAGAGGTCCGATCAGCGGTCTGATCGGATCCTCCTATCTGCAGCTCTAAAGTTCTCAGAAGCAGCTTTGCTAAAATGTGAGGCTAGTTTACCTTCAACTCCTTGCCAGGGCCGTTGGGTCTGCAGAGAACCTGGTAGTAGTCCACCACCCCCTCCTCGGTCCACAGCAGAGTCACAGACGAGTGTGTGGCGTTGACGGCGAACAGCGAGCGGGGAGGAGCCGGCTCTGTGGGGAGCAAAGGCTTGACGTGAGCTCATACAGGAGAACGGGCCAGAAACACTTATAGACGTCCAGAAGAGGAAGTTCTCCACGCAAGGTTTTAGTTTCACTTTCAGAGCCAAAACAGGTCCAAATGAAGCCGTTTCTGCTGCTGGAGAATTCATAGTTGGCAGCAGACAGTTTCTGTTAGGAATTTGGTTCTTTTAGGATTTTTGCTTCAAGAATCAAGTTCTATCTGGAATATGGTTACATAAGTAACCTTTTAGGAATGCGATTCTATCAGGAATACAAATTTTTTTGAAAATTGAAATTATTTAAGGAGTATAACACTATAAAGAATGTATTTCTTGTAGGCATTTGTTTGTATCGAGAAAGTTTTTTGAGGAATGTGGTTCAATTGGGAATGTGAGGAATGCGGTTCTATAGGGAATGTTCTTTGCGTAATGTGGTTTTTTTCTTGGAAAAGGGAATATGGTTCTATCTGGCATATTCTTTGAGGAATGATGTTCTATTGGGAAAGTTCTTTGAGGAATGTGGTTCTATGGGAAAAGTTATTTGAGGAATATGCTTCTATCTGGCATATTCTCAGAGGAATTATGTTCTATTCGGAAAGTTCTTTGAGGAATGTGGTTCTATGGGAAAAGTTATTTGAGGAATGTGGTTCTATGGGAAAAGTTCTTTGAGGAATATGGTTCCATGGGAAAAGTTCTTTGAGGAATATGGTTCTATGGGAAAAGTTCTTTGAGGAATATAGTTCTATGGGGAAAGTTCTTTGAGGAAAGATTTCTATCTGGAATGTTCTCTGAGGAATGACGTTATGTTGGGAACGTTCTTTGAGGAATGTGGTTCTATGGGAAAACTTCTTTGAGGAATGTGGTTCTATGGGGGATAGTTCTTTGAGGAATCCGGCTCTATGGCAAAAGTTCATTGCGTAATGTGGTTCTATGAGAAAAGTTATTTGAGGAATGTGGTTCTATGGAAAAAGTTCTTTGAGGAATGTGGTTCTATGGGGGATAGTTCTTTGAGGAATCCGGCTCTATGGCAAAAGTTCATTGCGTAATGTGGTTCTATGAGAAAAGTTATTTGAGGAATGTGGTTCTATGGAAAAAGTTCTTTGAGGAATGTGGTTGTATGGAAAAAGTTCTTTGAGGAATGTGGTTCTATGGGAAAAGGTCTTTGAGGGATACAGTTCTGTTGGAAAAGTTCTTTAAGTAATGCGTCTCAATGGGAAAAGTTATATCTGGAATGTTCTCTGAGCACTGAATTTCTGTTGGAAAAGTTCTTTGACGAATGCGGTTCTATGGGAAAAGTTATTTGTGTAATGTTATATGTAAAAAGTTCTGTGAGGAATATTGTTCTATGGAAAAAGTTCTTTGAGGAATATGGTTCTATGGGAAAAGTTCTTTGAGGAATATGGTTCTATGGGAAAAGTTCTTTGAGGAATATGGCTCTATCTGGAATGTTCTCTGAGGAATGACGTTATGTTGGGAACGTTCTTTGAGGAATGTGGTTCTATGGGAAAACTTCCTCGAGGAATATGCTTCTATCTGGCATATTCTCAGAGGAATTATGTTCTATTGGGAAAGTTCTTTGAGGAATGTGGTTCTATGGGAAAAGTTCTTTGAGGAATATGCTTCTATCTGGCATATTCTAAGAGGAATTATGTTCTATTGGGAAAGTTATTTGAGGAATGTGGTTCTATGGGAAAAGTTATTTGAGGAATGTGGTTCTATGGGAAAAGTTCTTTGAGGAATATGGTTCCATGGGAAAAGTTCTTTGAGGAATATGGTTCTATGGGAAAAGTTCTTTGAGGAAAGAGTTCTATCTGGAATGTTCTCTGAGGAATGACGTTATGTTGGGAACGTTCTTTGAGGAATGTGGTTCTATGGGAAAACTTCTTTGAGGAATGTGGTTATATGGGGGATAGTTCTTTGAGGAATCTGGCTCTATGGCAAAAGTTCATTGCATAATGTGGTTCTATGAGAAAAGTTATTTGAGGAATGTGGTTCTATGGAACAAGTTCTTTGAAGAATGTGGTTCTATGGGAAAATGTCTTTGAGGGATACAGTTCTGTTGGGAAAGTTCTTTAAGTAATGCGTCTCAATGGGAAAAGTTATATCTGGAATGTTCTCTGAGCACTGAAATTCTGTTGGAAAAGTTCTTTGAGTAATGCGGTTCTATGGGAAAAGTTCTTTGTGTAATGTTCTATGTAAAAAGTTCTGTGAGGAATATTGTTCTATGGGAAAACTTCTTTGAGGAATATGCTTCTATCTGGCATATTCTCAGAGGAATGATGTTCTATTGGGAAAGTTCTTTGAGGAATGTGGTTCTATGGGAAAAGTTCTTTGAGGAATATGCTTCTATCTGGCATATTCTCAGAGGAATTATGTTCTATTGGGAAAGTTCTTTGAGGAATGTGGTTCTATGGGAAAAGTTATTTGAGGAATGTGGTTCTATGGGAAAAGTTCTTTGAGGAATATGGTTCCATGGGAAAAGTTCTTTGAGGAATATGGTTCTATGGGAAAAGTTCTTTGAGGAATATGGTTCTATGGGAAAAGTTCTTTGAGGAATATGGTTCTATGGGAAAAGTTCTTTGAGGAAAGTGGTTCTATGGGAAAACTTCTTTGAGGAATGTGGTTCTATGGGGGATAGTTCTTTGAGGAATCCAGCTCTATGGCAAAAGGCATTGCGTAATGTGGTTCTATGAGAAAAGTTATTTGAGGAATGTGGTTCTATGGAAAAAGTTCTTTGAGGAATGTGGTTCTATGGAAAAAGTTCTTTGAGGAATGTGGTTCTATGGGAAAAGGTCCTTGAGGGATACAGTTCTGTTGGGAAAGTTCTTTAAGTCATGCGTCTCAATGGGAAAAGTTATATCTGGAATGTTCTCTGAGCACTGAAATTCTGTTGGAAAAGTTCTTTGACGAATGCGGTTCTATGGGAAAAGTTCTTTGTGTAATGTTCTATGTAAAAAGTTCTGTGAGGAATATTGTTCTATGGGAAAAGTTCTTTGAGGAATATGGTTCTATGGGAAAAGTTCTTTGAGGAATATGGCTCTATCTGGAATGTTCTCTGAGGAATGACGTTATGTTGGGAACGTTCTTTGAGGAATGTGGTTCTATGGGAAAACTTCTTTGAGGAATGTGGTCCTATGGGGGAAAGTTCTTTGAGGAAACCCTGCTTTATGGGAAAAGTTATTTGTGTAATGTGGTTCTATGAGAAAAGGTCTTTGAAAGATACAGTTCTGTTGGGAAAGTTCTTTGAGTAATGCGGTTCAATGGAAAGTTCTTTGAGTAATGCAACTCTATGGGAAAAGTTCTTTGAGGAATATGGTTCTATCTGGAATGTTCTCTGAGCATTGACATTGTGTTGAGAAAGTTCTTTGAGGAATATGGCTCTATGGGAAAAGTTCTTTGAGGAATATGGCTCTATCTGGAATGTTCTCTGAGGAATGACGTTATGTTGGGAACGTTCTTTGAGGAATGTGGTTCTATGGGAAAACTTCTTTGAGGAATATGCTTCTATCTGGCATATTCTCAGAGGAATTATGTTCTATTGGGAAAGTTCTTTGAGGAATGTGGTTCTATGGGAAAGGTTCTTTGAGGAATATGCTTCTATCTGGCATATTCTCAGAGGAATTATGTTCTATTGGGAAAGTTCTTTGAGGAATGTGGTTCTATGGGAAAAGTTATTTGAGGAATGTGGTTCTATGGGAAAAGTTCTTTGAGGAATATGGTTCCATGGGAAAAGTTCTTTGAGGAATATGGTTCTATGGGAAAAGTTCTTTGAGGAATATGGTTCTATGGGAAAAGTTCTTTGAGGAAAGAGTTCTATCTGGAATGTTCTCTGAGGAATGACGTTATGTTGGGAACGTTCTTTGAGGAATGTGGTTCTATGGGAAAACTTCTTTGAGGAATGTGGTTCTATGGAGGATAGTTCTTTGAGGAATCGGCTCTATGGCAAAAGTTCATTGCGTAATGTGGTTCTATGAGAAAAGTTATTTGAGGAATGTGGTTCTATGGAAAAAGTTCTTTGAGGAATGTGGTTCTATGGGAAAAGGTCCTTGAGGGATACAGTTCTGTTGGGAAAGTTCTTTAAGTCATGCGTCTCAATGGGAAAAGTTATATCTGGAATGTTCTCTGAGCACTGAAATTCTGTTGGAAAAGTTCTTTGACGAATGCGGTTCTATGGGAAAAGTTCTTTTTGTAATGTTCTATGTAAAAAGTTCTGTGAGGAATATTGTTCTATGGAAAAAGTTCTTTGAGGAATGTGGTTCTATGGGAAAAGTTCTTTGAGGAATATGGCTCTATCTGGAATGTTCTCTGAGGAATGACGTTATGTTGGGAACGTTCTTTGAGGAATGTGGTTCTATGGGAAAACTTCTTTGAGGAATGTGGTCCTATGGGGGAAAGTTCTTTGAGGAAACCCTGCTTTATGGGAAAAGTTATTTGTGTAATGTGGTTCTATGGGAAAAGTTCTTTGAGGAATGTGGTGCTATGGAAAAAGTTCTTTGAGTAATGTGGTTCTATGAGAAAAGGTCTTTGAAAGATACAGTTCTGTTGGGAAAGTTCTTTGAGTAATGCGGTTCAATGGAAAGTTCTTTGAGTAATGCAACTCTATGGGAAAAGTTCTTTGAGGAATATGGTTCTATCTGGAATGTTCTCTGAGCATTGACATTCTGTTGGGAAAGTTCTTTGATGAATGTGGTTCTATGGGAAAAGTTATTTGAGGAATGCGGCTCTATGAGGGAAAGTTCTTTGAGGAATGTGGTTCTATCGATTATGTTCTTTGAGGAATTTGGTTCTATGGGAAAAGTTCTTTGAGGAATTTGGTTCTATGGGGGAGAGTTCTTTGAGGAATGTGGTTCTATCGATTATGTTCTTTGAGGAATGTGGTTCTATGGGAAAAGTTCTTTGAGGAATTTGGTTCTAGGGGGGAGAGTTCTTTGAGGAATGTGGTTCTATCGATGATGTTCTTTGAGGAATGTGGTTCTATGGGGGAAAGTTCTTTGAGGAATGCAGCGGATCGATGGTGGAAATTTCTTTGAGGAATGTGGTTCTATGGGGAATGTGATTCAGATTGAACCTTATGGATTCACTGGTTTTTATTTCTACGAGTCATGGTCATGCTTAGTTTCTAAAGACAAATCATCGATCAGTTCGAAGAGTTTGTGTTTCCTCTCCGAACATTCAGAGCTGGATATAGATTAAATGGACAAAAGAGCACAAAGTTCTGACCCAGCTTGATGATGTTAGGAACAGACGTGTTCCTGCTCCGCTCTGTGCACGCCGTCACCGTCAGGTTGTAGATGTCTCCTGGAGGCAGCGGGAGGCTGGCCCGCATGGCGTTACGGGTCACCTGTGACAAAAAACAGACCTGGGTTCAGAGAGAGATGCTACAGGAGCCCAGAAGTCCAAACTAAGAGGAGTTTTCCACAGAGAAGAATATTTTTGCACAAATTCGGATGTTTTTCTACAACACCTGCAAGAATTAAACTTCCTGCGGGTTTTCTGAGTTCTAAGTGTAAACCAGCTGAGCGACAGCATCCCATTATGGAAAATCCAACTAAGATATACATAGGATAATAATCAGGAACAGAACTGCATCCCTAACTTGGAACTGTGGAAAAAACAACATCATTTCATGAACTTCTAGAGATTTTGCATCTATTTCTTCAGGTGGCATCACCATCCCAGGTGCTGCCCTAAAACATTGTTATCTGTGCAGACAGCTGAGAATAGCTCCGTCCTGTTAGTGGCGCCTGCATATCTAACATCTGACGCCTCATCCTGAGACATCCTGCTGAATCTGAAAACCATCAACTGCTGCCGCCATGCTTGAAATTAAAGATCATAGCATCTATGGAATTTGATTTGGGTCACCAGTTTCACTCCTGGCTGTGTTTACACCAAGTGGTTTCACTCCTGGTTTTGTTTGCATTAACCAGTTTCACCCTGGCTGTGTTTACACCAAGTGGTTTCACTGCTGGTTTTGTTTGCATTAACCAGTTTCACCCAGGTTGTGTTTACACAAACATCTTTCACTCCTGGTTCTTTTTACACCAATAGGTTTCACTCCTGGTTCAATTTACACAAACATGTTTCTCTTCTTGTTCAGTTTAAACTAACCAGTTTCACTCCTGGTTCTGTTTATATTAACCGGTTTCACTCCTAGTTCAATTTACACAAACATATTTCTCTTCTGGTTCTGTTTACACTAACCAGTTTCATTCTTGGTTCAGTTTAAATTAACCAGTTTCACTCCTGGTTCTGTTTATATTAACCGGTTTCACTCCTAGTTCAATTTACACAAACATATCTCTCTTCTGGTTCTGTTTACACTAACCAGTTTCATTCTTGGTTCAGTTTAAACTAACCAGTTTCACCCCTGGTTCTGTTTATATTAACCGGTTTCACTCCTAGTTCAATTTACACAAACATATTTCTCTTCTGGTTCTGTTGACACTAACCAGTTTCATTTCTGGTTCAGTTTAAACTAACTAGTTTCACACCTGGTTCTGTTTGCATTAACCAGTTTCACCCTGGTTGTGTTTACACAAACATCTTTCACTCCTGGTTCTGTTTACACAAACATGTTTCTCTTCTGGTTCTGTTTATACTAACCAGTTTCATTCCTGGTTCAGTTTAAACTAACCATTTTCACCCCTGGTTCTTTTTGCATTAACCAGTTTCACCCTGGTTGTATTTACACAAACAGGTTTTACTCCTGGTTTTTACTCCCGGTTCTGTTTACACTAATATGTTTCACTCCTGGTGGAACTTGAACAGGTGGAACTTAGACAGAGACGAACTGGAGAAATTACATCCACAGAGTAGATCTTCTCAGGTCCCTTCTTTCCCACAGCCACCACCTGCCAGTGCAGCATCCTGGAGTGAGACAGGTCGATGAAGAGCTCGCCGTACGTCCAGCGGACGAACAGAACCCCCTGATGGTAATCCACTGAGGAGATGTGAGGAGCTTCAGGAGCTGGAGGAGGAACGACAGGTTACATAAAGCATCACACACCTGAGAAGGACGCTATTTTCCTAGAAAGGATGCCGCCTGTAAAGTAGAAAGACCAGTTGGTTTAGACAGGATTTTTTAAATTATCAGGCGATTTTCAAAACACGCATGCTGGTGTGAAGGCGAATTTACATTTTCGAGAGAAAAAGCCCTGCATTTGGTTTAATTAGTGCTGATCAGTGTTAGAGCAGTGCGCAGGGTATGACATCATCAGGCAATTAGCTTTGCCTCTGTTGTTTAGCCAGTTTTCTGATGAAGCGACAAAAAAAATAAAAATAAAATAAAGATAAAGCAGTGTTGGACAAAAATCACACAATGAAAATGCTCCGTTCTGAGCTTTGTGGCTGATGGATGGATATAGGTTTAAAAAATCGGACCATGCAGGTCATTGGTGCAGTTCCAAAAAGAGAAGGACTGCTCATAATGAGTTCAATTTACACAAACAGGTATCAATTCCGGTTCTGTTTACACAAAACAGTTTCATTCCTGGTTCAGTTTAAACTAACTCGTTTCATCCTGGTTCTGTTTGCATTAACCAGTTTCACCCTGGTTGTGTTTAAACCAACATGTTTCACTCCTGGTTCTGTTTACACCAATAGGTTTCACTCATGGTTCAGTTTATCTTAACTGGTTTCACTCCTGGTTAATTTCCACAAACAGTTTTTACTTCTGGTTCTGTTTACACTAACAGGTTTCATTCCTGGTTCCGTTTACACTAGCCTGTTTAAATCCTAGTTCTGTTTGCATTAACCAGTGTCACTCCTGGTTCTGTTTACACTGACTGGTTTTACTCCTGGATCTGTTTACACTAACCAGTTTCACTCCTGGTTCTGTTTGCATTAACCAGTTTTACCGTGGTTCTGTTTACACAAATAGTTTTCATTCCTGGTTCTATTTACACATACATGTATCGCTCCTGTTTCTGTTTACACAAACAGCTTTTTGCTCCTGGTTCTGTTAACACTAACTCATTTCACTCCTGGTTCTGTTTACACTGACTGGTGGCAGTCTGAATTGGCATTGATCTAACATATTTGAACAGATGCACATTAGCCTGTACATGCAATCCTGAACCACCAAGCTGTGAGTCTTATGTTTCTGAATAAAACCGGTCAAACTGGATCCCATGTGGTACCTGTCACAAAGTTGACTGTTGAGCCATCGCAGCAGGTGAGCGGAGGATCCCCCCATGTTACCATGGAGACTCTGAAGTTATAATACCAGGCGGGCAGCAGGTCACTGACCCTCTGAGAACAAACAGAGAACCGAAGTGAGCTGAGGAGTCCCCAGTGTCCTGAGGTCCTGACTGAGGTCCCATAAACACCACGTTACCACGGTGGCGATCACAGAAGCAGTAGCAGCAATCTCGTAGTACGTTGTCCACTCAGATGCCAGTGTGACAGGATTAAAAAAGAAGGTCTGCAGGATGTACTTTCTGAAGGCCACATGGTATGGGCGCTGCCAGCTGAGGATCACAGCTGTTGGACTCAAAGGATAAACGGTCAGCTCTCGTACACCTGTGGGCTCTGACACAAAAAACACACCTGAATAAGTCCTCCTATTCCTTACTCTCAATCTGACCCGGGAGACGTGAGGGATGCTTACCGATGTCGATGATGACGGGTTCGGATGGAGGACTGATCAGAGGACCGTTGGTGTGATAAACGACCACTCTGTACTGAGCACCAGGTGTCAGGTTGCTGATGATGTCACTAGTTGTGTTTTCCTGAGAAAACAGAAAGGTTGAACAAATCCGTAGTTAGAACCGCCAAGGTTTAACTGAAAGTCTGAAATATCATCGACCTGAAGACATGACCTACCACACTGGTTCCTCTACAGTTTTTGAATAACGAAGCTGGGTTCATTTCTAATACTGAACAACTAAACCAGTTTCTCTCTTAATTCTGAATAACCAAGCAACTTTTAATTCTTACCTAATGTAAACTAAACTGGTTTGACTTCTGACTCTGAACAACCAAACCGGTTTCAATCCTAATTCAACGCCAACCAAGCAGGTTTTTCTTTAGATACATAAACACCTAACCAGTTTCACCCATGATTTAATACAAACAGAACTGGATTCATTTCTGACTCCAAACTGGTTTTAGTTTTGATTCAAACACCAAAATTATTTTACTTTTAATTTAATACAAACCAAACTGGTATTACTTCCTTTACAGAACAAGCAAGCCAGCTTATATCCTAATTTATAACAACCAAACCAGTTTTACTGGTTTCACACCTAATTCAATACAAACCAAACCGGTTCCACTGCTGATTCAGAACTAGCCAATCAATCCAATTAGAACAGATGATTTTAAAGAAACACAGAATCACAGTTCTCTGACGCAGCAGTCAGTTGTTCTAACCAACGGTTCAGGCTCATGGTGAAGGCTTTCCTCTGCTGCTTTTAGGTGAGTAGGAACGTTGGTTTTCTAGTGTACAACGTGTTGGTTGGAAAGGCTTTGTTAAAGCTAAATGCCTCTTTTCTATTAACTGGACTGAGGTTGGTTCCTCAGCCTCCGTCCAGAATTAGGCTGAAAAAAGACAGAAAGGTTGTGACTAAAAAGCTGTTTATACTCCTGCAGCGGTGTGTCGCAGTGAGCTTGTTGCGGGTATGATGCAGGTATTTTTTGATTTATTCCCAACTTTGAAGCGAGAGGGACAATCGCGAACCAGCTAGGACTGTTGGTATCCGTGTGTCGGTTTGACGAGCTTGTTCACCATCTATAACCCCTCATCCAACGTCGGACACACAGTTCACCCGTGACTGTTCCAGAAAGACTGGCTGTGGCGCTGCGTGTTTTGGCTTTGGGTACCAGACGCCATACTTAGACGACCTGGTTTCTGAAGATGAACTAGGCTTAACATCTTTGCTCCTGCTCCGATACTCTTTCTGAACGACATCTAGATGTCATCTGTACCTCGCTGCAGTAGGCATTCTCCATCCTCTGGCTGAGGCTGGGTTTCAGGCAGGTGGTTGAAACCACTGACACCAGGCTGCCATTATGGTTCTCAGAGGATGGAGACCAGGAGACGGCGGCGGTGCTGGAGTCCAGCAGTCTGACGCTGACACCCTGAGGACGTTCCTGCAGCTCCTCCAGCAACTCGCCGCTGGGACCTGAATGGATTTAAATAGAGTGATAGAAACAGAAAAAATAATGAGGATCTAAACAGATTCTTTGCCACATTAAACGTCTCTGTGATGACACAGGAGGAAAGCTCACAGCTAAACATGCTAATAATGGTCCGGTGAATCACCTGGAGATGTTTTACTGAACAATCGAGGCATTTTAGAATCACAACATCCTCCTTTAACTTCCCAAAGGACTCACTGAGGTAGAAGGTGAAGCCGGTGTCGGTGCTGCTCTCCCGGGCCTCACAGTCTCCAGAATTACTCAGCGTGGTGACCTGCACACGGTACGTTCCTGGTTCCGTCAGCTCGGTGAAGAACTCATGCGTGTTCTCGTCCACAGACGCCGTCTCTGTGGAGTTCCCTGGAGACAAGACCAGAAGGTGAGGATCTGACAGCAGGCAGTGTGGCAGTCGACTGTAAGAACAGCTTGTCCATCGTTGTGTCATCCAGAACCCCTCCTTACTGTGTTCCTACCATCTTTGTAGATGTAGATGAAGAAGCCATCAAAGGAGGTTGGAGGTCTGGGAGGAAGCCAACGTAGCTCGAGCAAGATGGGAGGCAACTTGGTGGGCAGAACGGGGACCTCGACAGGGACCGCCATGGCTGACCCTGGCTCGTTGGAGTCCTCGTACTCAGACACCACCGCGTTAACGAATTCCTCATCCCTGTCAGATGGTGATATCTCCGTTGGGTCGAGCCAGTAACTCGGAGACTCCGCCTCCTCTGTCAGGTTCGCGTTTACGTTGACAGGCTCACTTTCTCCCAGGTTTTGAGTTGTGTTGGTAGGAACTTGAGATGTTGTTTCCTCTTCCTCTAAAAGCAGTTCCTGGTGCTCCTCCAGCAGCGGGACGTCCCGGGCCTGGCGAGAGGACCTCTGGCCTCTGTCCATGTGACCAACCTGATCTGAGGTCCTCTGGCTCAGGGCGATGATCCTATGGGAGATGTTGAGGGGGGGATTGGGCACTGTTGGGGAGACAGAGGAGGGTGAGCGTGTGCAGATTCCTCATCTGCTGTCATAACAGAGAAACCATACGTCGTAATTTGAAAACAAACAGGGAAAAGAGGCTGGAAACAGCCTGGAAACATCTTGAAAAAGGTCTGAAAACATCTTGGGAGCAGCCTGGAAAATGTTTGGAAACAGTGAAGAAACAGCCTGGAAACAGTCAGGGAAAAGCCTGGAAACAGTCAGAAAACAATTAGGAAACAGTCAAGAAACAACCTGGAAACAGTCTGGAAACTGTCAGGAAACAGTCAAGAAAAAGCCTGGAACAGCTTGGAAACAGCCTGGAAACAGTCAGGGAACAATTAGGAAACAACCTGGAAACAGTCAGGAAACAGCCTGGAAACAGTCAGGGAACAATCAGGAAACAACCTGGAAACAGTCAGGAAACAGCCTGGAAACAGTCAGGGAACAATCAGGAAACAACCTGGAAACAGTCAGGGAACAATCAGGAAACAACCTGGAAACAGTCAGGAAACAGCCTGGAAACAGTCAGGAAACAACCTGGAAACAGTCTGGAAACAGTCTGGGGATAGTCTAGAAACAGCCTGGAAACCAAGGGCGTAGGTTTGATTTGAACTTTGGTAGGGACACTATCAGTCGCTTGTCATTGGTGCTATGCAATATGCATGCCCTTTTTTATGCACGGTGTGAGCATCCGTACTGATAAGAGGAATTCATTGTTAAAAGAGAAAAGCATCATTTTGCTACATTAATAAAAATTGTATAAGCACTACACTCATTAGATGCTGTTTATTAATGTTTGAAGTATCAGCGGCTCTGATCAATGTGGAATTAGGACTGTTTTCCACTTTGAAAATGGTTTCATTTGAACGACTAAGAGAGAAGGCAAATACAGTATTTTCTTCTGAAGATATAGAATTGTGCAGAGTTAAACCCCACTCTTATATTTTTACCTACTATGCTCTCTCTGTATCAAGCAAAATAATACATTCATTAAAATATTAACTTCACTATAAAAGTGGAACATCTGGGCTGTAGTTACTCTGTGTAGCCCATTTCATGTATTTTATCTGGGACTGAAAAAGATTAATCGTATTAATTGATTATTTCAATAATCGTCAACTAATTTAGTGAGTGATTCATCATTAACTGGAGAATAGAGACTCTAAAACATAATAAAAATTTAAAATATGCCTTTCTCCGACAGAGCAACCCACTTAGATCAGTAATTATACGAAAATTTTAAAAATACAACATATATATATATAGTATATAAGATTAAAAAAATGTTTTTGTCTGTCAAAATTCTTCATCCAGAACTCATCAAGAGGAAATATTTTAGTATCACCTGGTTTATTTAGACATCACCTGAAGCACTGAAGGGCCAGCTGCTTCACCTAAAAGCTGCCCTGCATCATTATTACTGGCTATCTGTGTTTCCTATAATCATATAATGTATAAGTGCATTTTTAATAGTAAAGGATTAAATGTAACACAACCTTTTATCATTGTCCTATATTGCTTACACAACACTGAGCATGAGCCTAAGTGTATTAAAATATAAAATCACTTTTAACAATTATAAAAGACAATATAACACTATCTTATCTGTAATGTAATAATATCCAAAATAAACAGTCAGATTCAAGCATTTTTACCAGACATTAATGTTTGTACTAGTTTACTTATAGACTGTTGGAAATCTATGTAAGATCAAATCAATGTTAATATTCTTCCTCTGTTTGTTCTTGTCTTTATCCTATTTCTAGAAGTATAAATACCGTATTTTCACGACTATAAGGCGCACTTAAACGTCTTTTTTCCCCCTCAAAATGTGCGGTGCGCCCTATGGTGCGGTGCGCCCTATGTGTGTTGTAACTGCGACTTTTGAGACCACCTCATTGAGGAGATGATGAAAGAGTGGCTGAATGTAAGGAGACCAGCTGTTTTTTTTCCACTCATCACCATTAATATGTAACTCCATGCGTGCCCATCTCACAGCTGATGTGAAAAACATGGGGAAACAAATTAACCCTGTGCTCGCTGTTCAACCGCTCGACATCGGTGTGAACCGGACCCAGCAGGTGCAGCAGAAGCAGCGAGGAATAACGTGTCTGCTGGCTCTGTTCTTCAAGCTTTTGCAAAAGCAGGCATTATTTCTGAGGAGCCGCGCTGCACGGAAAGTGACTCTGACAGCGCAGAAGGGGAAACTGGCATGTCTGATTTAGCGCAGCTGTTTAATTCAGAAACAGAGGATGAGGACTTTGAGGGGTTTGATTAATACTTTGTAATAAATACATGAATAAAGCACAATCATACTCAGTTTTGCTCCCGCTCTATTTTTCTACCTGAAAACTTAATTCAACAGCTGCCTGTGGGCCGCGGCGCATCGGGACTCACCTCCGCAGGTGTTTTTTCATCTAAATAATCTAAATCTTTTTAAGTGAGAAAGTCCACCTGAAAATTTAATCATTGCAGTCAGCTCATCCAGATTATTATCCTGCCTATGTTTTAAGTTAATTTATGCGTCAATAAACGAAGAAGAAGGGGAAACTGGCATGTCTGATTTAGCGCAGCTGTTTAATTCAGAAACAGAGGATGAGGACTTTGAGGGGTTTGATTAATACTTTGTAATAAATACATGAATAAAGCACAATCATACTCAGTTTTGCTCCCGCTCTATTTTTCTACCTGAAAACTTAATTCAACAGCAGGCTCTGGTCCACGGCGCATACGGACTCACCTCCGCAGGTGTTTTTTCATCTAAATAATCTAAATCTTTTTAAGTGAGAAAGCCCACCTGAAAATTTAATCATTGCAGTCAGTTCATCCAGATTATTATCCTGCCTATGTTTTAAGTTAATTTATGCGTCAATAAACGAAGAAGAAGGTGAAACTGGCATGTCGGATTTAGCGCAGCTGTTTAATTCAGAAACAGAGGATGATGACTTTGAGGGGTTTGATTAATACTTTGTAATAAATACATGAATAAAGCACAATCATACTCAGTTTTGCTCCCGCTCTATTTTTCTACCTGAAAACTTAATTCAACAGCAGGCTCTGGTCCACGGCGCATACGGACTCACCTCCGCAGGTGTTTTTTCATCTAAATAATCTAAATCTTTTTAAGTGAGAAAGCCCACCTGAAAATTTAATCATTGCAGTCAGTTCATCCAGATTATTATCCTGCCTATGTTTTAAGTTAATTTATGCGTCAATAAACGAAGAAGAAGGGGAAACTGGCATGTCGGATTTAGCGCAGCTGTTTAATTCAGAAACAGAGGATGAGGACTTTGAGGGGTTTGATTAATACTTTGTAATAAATACATGAATAAAGCACAATCATACTCAGTTTTGCTCCCGCTCTATTTTTCTACCTGAAAACTTAATTCAACAGCAGGCTCTGGTCCACGGCGCATACGGACTCACCTCCGCAGGTGTTTTTTCATCTAAATAATCTAAATCTTTTTAAGTGAGAAAGCCCACCTGAAAATTTAATCATTGCAGTCAGTTCATCCAGATTATTATCCTGCCTATGTTTTAAGTTAATTTATGCGTCAATAAACGAAGAAGAAGGTGAAACTGGCATGTCGGATTTAGCGCAGCTGTTTAATTCAGAAACAGAGGATGATGACTTTGAGGGGTTTGATTAATACTTTGTAATAAATACATGAATAAAGCACAATCATACTCAGTTTTGCTCCCGCTCTATTTTTCTACCTGAAAACTTAATTCAACAGCAGGCTCTGGTCCACGGCGCATACGGACTCACCTCCGCAGGTGTTTTTTCATCTAAATAATCTAAATCTTTTTAAGTGAGAAAGCCCACCTGAAAATTTAATCATTGCAGTCAGTTCATCCAGATTATTATCCTGCCTATGTTTTAAGTTAATTTATGCGTCAATAAACGAAGAAGAAGGGGAAACTGGCATGTCGGATTTAGCGCAGCTGTTTAATTCAGAAACAGAGGATGAGGACTTTGAGGGGTTTGATTAATACTTTGTAATAAATACATGAATAAAGCACAATCATACTCAGTTTTGCTCCCGCTCTATTTTTCTACCTGAAAACTTAATTCAACAGCAGGCTCTGGTCCACGGCGCATACGGACTCACCTCCGCAGGTGTTTTTTCATCTAAATAATCTAAATCTTTTTAAGTGAGAAAGCCCACCTGAAAATTTAATCATTGCAGTCAGTTCATCCAGATTATTATCCTGCCTATGTTTTAAGTTAATTTATGCGTCAATAAACGAAGAAGAAGGGGAAACTGGCATGTCGGATTTAGCGCAGCTGTTTAATTCAGAAACAGAGGATGAGGACTTTGAGGGGTTTGATTAATACTCTGTAATAAATACTTGAATAAAGCACAATCATACTCAGTTTTGCTCCCGCTCTATTTTTCTACCTGAAAACTTAATTCAACAGCAGCCTCTGGGCGGGTCTCCTCCTCTTCACCGCGGTGGCTGGCAGGTGTTTTTTCATCTAAATAATCTAAATCTTGCAGCTATATTTGCTGTGATCAGTGGGAATAAAGTAGTTTTAATATGTTTTTAAGTGAGAAAATCCACCTGAGAGGACATGTACCTGTATATAAAAAACGCGCCCTATAGTCCGGTGCGCCTTATGTGTGTGTTAAATACAGAAATGGGACACATAACTAAGAGTGCGCCTTTTAGTCCGGTGCGCCTTATGGTCGTGAAAATACGGTAGTCAATTAAATTATTATTATTATGTGGAACCCTAATTATGCTTTTCAAACAAAAAATAGCAGATGTTTAGGCGCCATTTCTTGTTGTTATAGGCTACTCTATAAAAGAAATAACACCTGCTAATAATTATACCTGAAAGAGTCATCAAAAAATGAAAACAGTAATAGCAACTAAATATCGGTAAAAAGGAAACCCTCACATTTTCTTTTTTAGTTGGCTGTGGCTAAGAATCAGAAATGTTGATGGCTTACAGCCTTTATTTGCCCATCTTTCCAGCAGTCTTCAGAACTCCTGGCTGACTCAGAATATTTCGTTTTAAAAATGTTTTTTAGTGTACATGATATTCCTTTTTTTTAATTGGGACTAGTTTTGCAGCCTAATATTACTTGCAGTAACCGCGGCATTCTAGTGTGAATACATTTTCAATTTTGTGCTCCAAGCACAGGCGGACTAGAAAACAGCCTATTAAAGAGAGAGAAGGCGGGACCTAAGGCAGAACAACCAATGAGAGTGGAGTTAGACAGCGCAGCACAGTTCCATGCGCTGCTGCGTGAAAGGGACAGGAGAGACCAGGCAGAGGAGCTGCGAGAGGAAAAGAAGCCACTGCTGCAACAACTACTGCTGTAAATTATAAACATGTTGCTCACATCCAATTATTGGTAGGGACAATTAGGTCGGTTCAAAATTTTGGTAGGGACATGTCCCTATGGTCCCTATGCAAACCTACGCCCATGCTGGAAACTGTCAGGAAACAGTCAAGAAACTGCCTGGAAAAACAGCTTAGAAACAGTCAGGAAAAATCCTGGAAACAGTCAGAAAACAATCTGGAAACAGTCAGGAAACAGCCTGGAAACAGTCATGAAACAACCTGGAAACAGTGAGGAAACAACCTGGAAACAGTCATGAAACAGCCTGGAAACAGTCAGGGAACAATCAGGAAACAACCTGGAAACAGTCAGGAAACAGCCTGGAAACAGTCATGAAACAGCCTGGAAACAGTCAGGGAACAATCAGGAAACAACCTGGAAACTGTGACTGCAGGTCGGTGAAACTCATCTTCCAGAATGTGAGTCCTGTTGCTCTCTAATGAGGAGCGGCAGCATTGATGTGATTACAGGAGATCAATAATGCAGGAGGAGCCTGATGGAGCGACCTCATTAATGTGTTTCTGAGACGATGACCTTTAACAGCACATCAGTCTGCAGCAGATCCCCTTCCTGAGCAGGAGAAGGGCTGTGATTCTGAGGGAGCAGACTCTGGACGTGTTTTTCGCAGCGAACAAACACCCAGATAAGTCCTGGCCTGGGACCGGGTCAGGGTCGGGTCCGATGGCTGTTTCTTACCTGTGCGGTGATGCAGTGGTGTGTGAGTGATGTCGCTGTGGGTGACCAGCGCTGTCTGGAACACGGTGGCCTCAGAGATGAGCTGGAAGGTGATGTTCCGGTAACACATTCCCGGTAACCAGTGTTTGAACACCGTCTTCCCTTTGTAGAAATCTGCATCAAGCAGAATATATAAGCAGGAAACATGGAGAGGTCCTGAATTCATCAATCTCTTATTTCCGTACTACTTCAAATAACCTGAAGGAAAATAACTATTATCTTTATAAACAAAAACTACCAGCTGAAGCAACACTGCACCAAAAAGCTTAGCTGTTTGGTCATGAGGAAGCTAATTCCTGTTACTTTCATGAATCTCAGAACATTTCCTAACAGATTGGGCAAACGGCCAGACTATAGACCCAACTGAGTCCGGAGTTCCTCACGGATGACTCTACGGTCTCTTCTCTTTTACCTCGATGTCATACAACAGGTAAATATCCTATTATTGCTAATTAAACTTCAAGTTTCTGTGAGCTGGGGAGTGGACAGCACTGCCATCATCTGGTTAGATAGGAAATTACAACACAGATTCATTTTTTTAACCCAATTTAGATTTTCTTAAAGCAGACAACCCTTATCATCTTTAAGAACCAGTAAGCTGATGCAGGTTCACCTTTATAGAGCATGTAGCGACGTTCCTGTCCTTCAGTGTAGCTGATGTTCACTCGGCTGAAGACCGTTCTGATCGGCGGGTCGATGTCGAACACCACGCCAGTCTCTGGAGCCTCCTTGTAGTCCGATATGTAAGCAGCGCGGACAGGAAGTGGTTCTGAGGCAATCGAAACAGCAGGAAGATGGTCAGAAATTCTAAAAAAGATTTCATGACTTTTACACTCTGGGAAACATCCCGAGTTATTTTAGACCTCTGAGGTACTCCTAACATGGTAATTCAGTTTACTAGTGGTTCCTAGAATTTCTAAAAGTAGAATGGGAGGCAGATCTTTTAGTTATCAGGCTCCTCTCCTGTGGAACCAACTACCAGTTTTAGTCCGTGAGGCAGACACCCTGTCTACTTTCAAGACTAGGCTTAAAACTTTCCTTTTTGATAAAGTTTATAGTCAGGGTAACCTGAGCCACTCTATGGTTATGCTGCTATAGGCTTAGACTGCTGGAGGACATAGGGACCCCTATTTCATATTCTCCCACTCTGCAGAATCTGTTAATTCAATCTCTAACGTTCTGCTCTCTCTGCTTTTTCTCATAGTAGCTTCATCTGGTCTGTTCCTGTTTGGCTGTGACTCCATCCTGGAGAGAAATATCAGCTGTGCTGCTGCCATCAACACCTTTGTTTATAGAAGTTAGAGATTGGCCTGTTTTTCAGTGTATTCCTGTTTCTCTTACTGTGACTAACTGGATGTGCTCTCTTCATCCTCTGACATGGGAGCTGGCTTGGAGCTTTCCTGGGCGCCTTTTACAGTTGCCTTCTGTATCTCTGCTTCTGTCTCCTTGAACCCCAGTCGGCCTCAGCAGATTGCCGCTCACACTGAGCCTGGTTCTGCTGGAGGTTTCTTCCTGTTAAAAGGGAGTTTTTCCTCTCCACTGTCGCTACAAGCATGCTTAGTGTGAGGGATTGCCTTCAAGTCAATGAGTCAATGCAATTAACTGGTTTTCCTTAAATAGAAAACTTTGAATCAATTTGATTTATGATCTGGTGAATTGTAAAGTGCCTTGAGATGATGTGTTGTAAATTGGTGCTATAGAAATAAACGGAATTGAATTTAAAGGTTAAAGGAAAAGCCCTCCCGATTTGTCTTACTTGTAAGGATAGGAACACTCTTTGTGGGCCTGGACCAGCTCTGTCCCAGTTTGACCACCAGCCCCACTGTGTAGCAGAGGCCATGGAACGAAGCGTTGAACAGCAAAGGCTCACTGGTGTTGACGAAAGGAACCAAGACCAGGCGAGGTTCTCCTGAGATCTGTACCGCGTAAGCTGTGATGTTCTCCTGAAGGTCCTCAGGCTCAAGTGTCGCCACGATCAATCCTTCCTGGTTCGTGGAAACCTGGAACGCTGACAAAACCTGAAAAAAGAAAAAAAAGTGAATCAGCTTACTGGGTCCGCCTGGGTACTGAAACGTTTTAGTCAGTTTCATGTTATAAAATAAAGTTAACCTTTATAATTTCAAATAACCAGATTATTTACCAGACTGACAGCTGTAGCCTAGATACTACAATTGTTGGGTATAGATTGCTGCTGTGCACTTTTCTATGAATTAATGCTCTACTTTATAAAAAAAGCGGTAAAAATAGCAGATCTAGTTCAACACATCATATGGGTTAATATGACAGACAAGCTAACAAAATGCACAACAAAAGAATCTATAAAGTCTGAGGGTTCATCTAGAGTTTCAAATGGGGCTTCATGGTGTTTTGCAGTGTTTATTTTGAAAAAAAAATTTGATGAGGCTAAATATCTTTCATTGTATCACCTATAAATCTGACAAGGTGACATTTAAAATAGTGGTTCCACCTGAAAAATATTCCTTAAAACCTTTCTGTCATACAAATACAAACATTTCCAACTTATAGTTTAGTTGAGGTCCACCAGTTTAGTCCAGAGGACTTCAACAGGGGATCCGCGACCCCTAGGGGGTCCGGAGAGGTACTGCATGGGGGTTGCGGAAGTTTTGGTTGATTAGACTTTTTTTAATATTCCACCCTGCGATTATTTCCACTAATTAAAATGTCTTTAAATCCACATTAACATGAATTCAACACACTGTAGTAATCAGATAAATGGAGGCAGAAGATGTCTTTCAGTCATCAATGCACACATTCAGCGACACACAGGAGCTCTTTCAAGCTGGGCACCGTTTCATTCACAACACCTGTCCCATCAACCAGGAATCAGAATCAGAAATAATTTAATAATCCCAGGGAGAAATTACTTTAGTTACATTACTACATCAATAATAGAGTGACAATAGGACCAGTTTGATAGAACACTATTTCCTACAATATATATAATTAGCGGGTCCCGCTCCATCTGGACATCAGTTTGAGGGTCCTGGCCTGGAAAACATTGAGGACCCCTGGTTTAGTCAATAGTTTCTATGGAAATATGTTTGACTTGGAATTAAATGATTTTCATTTATTATCTCTTATATTTTCAGTATAAGTTGGTGAATTTATTCCATATGTGAGCAGATTTATCTGTTTGATTAAAGCTGGAATCGGTTGTCCTAACACAGTGTGTTTATAGACAACAAATGACCGTCCCAAAGTTATTCGATGAAATGACATAAGTCACAGCAGCATTTAAATGCACAACAACAGAGACCTCAACAAGTTCCAAACAAACCAAGACAATGACTGCTAAAACACTCCTAAGCTTTGTGCTCCAAATCAGCTTCTCTTGTGAGTTTCTTGTGACACAACAGGGAAGGTTTAAAACATTAGATTCAGACTTTTTGCAGTTTCCATCCAGGGGTCAAGTCACAACCTAATACTCCTAATACCTAATAGTAAGAAAGGTTTCTGCAATCTGCAAGCGACTAGATGAACTAGCTTTTAGCTTGTTTTGCCCTTACTGATACCTAGCCAGTTAGATATTAAAAAATCCAATCTTGTAGCCGGACAGTAAAAGCACCAGACCAAGAGCTACCAGGCTACGCAGCAGTAAATAGCATCAAAGGAAGATAAAAGGAAAACAATTTTCTACAACATGTCAAATTTTCATAGAGAGTGAGACTTCAGGAAGATAATAGGAAGGCTGAACTGATTAAGGTCCACTCTATGGGTCCAAGGCCGTGGGGTTTCAGTTGGCCCAGTTGGCTTTAACAAATAATGTCATGTAGTAGCAACAGATCAGCTCTAGGGGCAGTAGTGTTCCAACATGTGCTGATTAAAATGCAGGCAGATTAAAGCCCATCTCCTAGTTGGCGGCTCTGTTCGATTTCATGGGCTGCGTCTTCCAAGGAGGCGGTCTACCTGGACTGGATCCTTCAAAGTCCTTGAAAATAAGGAGACTGGAAGAGTTTTGGCTGCCGGCCTGCCCTGTCGCTTAGCAACCGTGAATGAATGAATATCAAACTTTTCAAAACTGCTTCTTTTTCATCTTTTTTTCTTTTCTTTATAGTAAAGTAAACAAAGACTACACTCGTGAGAATCCAGAGAGGAATAAAGGTTCCAACCACCGGGAGCAGGAACTAATAAAAGCTAATATAATTATATAAACCTTAGTCAGTTAAATATCATGCTGCTGTCATTTTGCACATCTCTGATGTTGCTGCTATTTTCAAATATCCATTACTGTAAAAATGTCCATAGCTGCATATTGGTTATTTATTCTCCAGGTGCACAGTTTGATATTATTAAAACACTTTACAGTATTTTATTGTTTATATTTTAACTCTTTACTATTATGTTATTCTTAAACATTTTTCTATGGTCCACAAACATCCATTTTTTTTAATAATCTTTTTTCTGCTGTAAATTTTCCCATTGTTGGACATGAAAGAGATTTTCTATTAAAATTTATAAAAGGGTTAGAAAGATATAAGTAAATCTAAACAGTGTATTTATAAAAAATATGTCTGCCATATCTCTTATATTCAACAACAAAAAATACTTAGTTAAGCAAATTATGCAAAATAGCAATAAAAAAATTTAAATCCTATCAGATTTATAGTTCCCACACTGCAGATATATTAGAATCTGTCCTTAAATTACAGCCAAACTCATTTACACAGTAACAGATAAAAACCTTTAGATAAATCAAACATTACCACCACATATCTGACTCTATAACCATTAAAACAACTATTCTTACTCATTCAGAAGGAACTATTCACAGACTGGATTATATCAAACTGAAGCTATTTTGTCTTCATTTCGATCTCTTCCTTTTTTTCCTTCTTTACTTGAATGTGCTGCTCTATGTCAGATTCTCTCTTCTTCCTGGGATGGACTGGCATTTACAATGCAAGAGAACTACTTCAGTGTCCGGATAGAAGATGGTGGTACCAGCAGTTAGAACTGGTCAGGGTACCGTTCCAGGGTCCTGGTTGGGGGTTCATCACCGCTGTGATCCGGTTCAGATACCGGACTTTGGCCCGGTTTAAATACATTTGTTTTATAGGAACTAGTAATAATACTTCAATTAATTTTTATACTGTCAATTTACTACACGTGATCTCAATGTACTTTACAGAGACAATTCAACGAGGTTCACAGTTTTCTATCTAAGGAAAACCAGCTGATTGCATCATTGACTCAAAGGGAATTCCTCATACTAAGCATGCTTGTAGCGACAGTGGAGAGGAAAAACTCCCTTTTAACAGGAAAAGTCTGGTCATATTCAGAATTCAAACTTCTGAAAGTACTTTAAATATGAAAAAATTACTTACTATTCAATAAATGATAAGTGTTTTAAATGAAGAGTAATTTTCATTTAAATGTGCTTTACTGGAGGCATCCATGTTTGTCAAAGAACACTACTGCCACCTACTGGTTTGTGACGTCACGGTGCGGTATCGGCTGTTGATCAAGTCCCAGTGCTGTATCTGGTGTTTGTCACAAAGCGCTGTTATCCAAGTCATCTTGAAAACATTCTTCTTCCAAATGTGGCTACATATTACGTGTTTTTTCTCTGGCAAGAAGTTCGATGGCAAATCCTCCCTCTTCAAGTTGGCAATCCAACGACCAACCCGTCTGTGGAGGATCAGGAATCAGAAAGGTGGAATAACTCAATTTTTTTTTCACTTTTACCCGATATATTCCAACATCCAGCTGCCATGCATGTGGGCATTGTCAGTTTCACTATAGCTCTGGGAGAATGGCGCTAGGCTTACCGCACCGTGACGTCACTACCAGAAGATGTCGGGAGTGAGTTGTTACCATATTTCTGCAAAAATGGCTGCTCTCAGACTCAGTGATTGCAATGAAAATTATTATTCTTACTGATTAATTCTAAATTCAGAGTGAACGTATTAGTTTTCGGTATAGATTATGATCCATTGATTATTGGTGACTCATTCCTTTGCCGTTCCAGTGCCTGCCTCTTTGGGCACGCTGGTTCTGGAAGCTTTTTGGAGAACCCAGATTGAAAGGGGGGATTTCTGTTTTACATGAAAACAAGGAAACCAGTGTTTCAGTTAGGCTGGGAAACTCATGCTCTAGTTAACCTGGCAATATTCTCCACTTCTGAGGAAAAGTTTTAATGGCCGCTTCAGTGCAGGGAGGCTAGAGCATAATTTGCTGTTTTTATGATGTCAGATTTCTCCAGGACTCTGAAGCTAAAGCTCAAACATCAATGATCCATTAAAGAATGATGCTGCGTCTCTAATTCTGCTATTATGTTATTCAGATTATCTGTTTAGGCCAATCTAAACCGCTCCCTGATTTAGTCCCCAGGTTTTTGAATCCTTTCCTAACAGCGCGGCTGAGTGAAACCTGCCTCTGAACAGGAGTAAATATCAGCGGTGAGTGACCTTCTACCACTGAAGACACAGATGCTGCAGTTTCATTAAATCTCTCAGCAGGAGAGTCGACTCCTGTGATCAGCTCCTGCTGCCAACTCCTTCATCGCTCCAATAATCTGAAGAGACGACCCAGAATGACCACAGAGGTCACTGAAACCGCTGTCATGCAGATAATTAGATTTTTCAACAGAAAAACTACTTTCCCCACAAAACTTTGCATCAGGTAAGACATCCCATGAGACGTCTCATCATGACACAACCTCCCTGATGCTGATAGTCTGAGCCAGAGGCTGTTTCTCAATATGTGCACTTGTTGGTTCTCATGTGCTCGTGTACTAACTGAACCGTCATCAGTCTCAGCCCTAGAACTGTTCCAGTTCACAAGAATAAGAAGACAGAGAACTGACAAAGTCCCTGGATGTTGTCCTCACCCCTCCCTATTTACCCAGCATGCATCAGAGCAGACTTGTCCGTTCTTGAGATTGACAGCTGTCCCAGCATGCACTGCAGCAGCAGCTTTCAATGGAGAGCTCACAGAGCCATTATTCAATAAAAGTATGTTTTAAGATAATTTGAGGCGAGAATATTTTACCTTTAAA